TCATGAAATATTGTGTGTTTCCTTTTGGTGATAGAGATTCCTATAGCATTACATGGCTAAAGATTTCAAGGGAAATGAGGACGTAGACTTACTAAAGAAGATTGAAAGTGACTACTACATGCAGTGATTGAAGCTTATGAAGCGGTCAGATAAAAATACTGCTTAACAGAGGAGTGGGCGCAAACTATTTCAAACGGAATTTGTCTGACAAAGACAAGGCAGAGCAATGGAGGAAGTACGTATTAGGGAACTCTAAAACACACACAAAAGTGACTACGAGTGTAGTCTTTAACTGAAATTTTTAGCCATTTGTAGTCTTTTGCATTATCCAATTGAAAGTAGGCAAAAAAACCAAACCGAACCGTTTATCTTTGTATAATAAAACAATAATAATAATATTATATAATCACATATGTATAGATATGTATAAAATATTAATAATACTTATATATACAATTATTACATTATACTGTCAATAAATATATTAATTAATAAATATATTGGTTAATTACTTAAATAAATTCATATTATTATGTTTTCTGTGTTTCTGATATATGTTTTGATTTCTAATCATAGATATCTTTAGTTGAGAAATCTTGGAGTTTGTGTATTACATTTTTTTTTTCTCTTTCACCATGTTCCTTTGGATATGAAATAATTTAGTTTTCGACCAACTTCTAAACTAAAAACATTTTGTAATTTATTTTATCACCATGCAAATCCACTATTTATTTCAAAATTTCGTGATTATATTGGTGTAATCGTGCTGCTTTACTTTAGAAAAGAACTAATCAATGTAGTTTTTGCTCTACAAAACAATGTTTTATGAACTTATAAACTTTGAAAGACAGAGAGCAAAAATATTACTTACTTCAAACTTAACCGGAGATAACGAAAGCGTAAATCCATTTGATTCAATTCCGGTTAGTTTTTTTGGGTTTGATTCAATTTTTTTTTTATGTTTGGTTCTTCTCTAACTTCTAAATCCGTTCTCGGATCCACCAAACCCGGTTCGCTTCCATCGGAGCTCCGTCGTCTCTTCTCCCGCCGTTCAGTTCTCAATCCGAACCCAATCCAGGAAAAACTTCCGTGAGTTTCAATAAATTCGTTACCGATTATGAAAGTTTTTAGATTTCAAGCTTGTACTTAGCAAAAAGGAAAAATGTTTGTAATTTGAAACCTTGATTAGGTAAAGTCCGTTGATTTTTTACTATTGTTAATGTTTGGAGTTTGTAAGAATCCTTTTCGAGAGATGGGGATGAATAAAGTTTCGTTTTTTTGGATTTTGGGTGTGTTGATTAGTTTGTAGAGTCCAACATTACATTAAGGAGAGATTGAAAGTAAAAAGCTTTACGAGTGTTTTTGGATTTCGGATGTGTTGAAGTTTATAGAGTCCAATATTACATT